CTTTTGATCGATCTACGAGTTCCTGATGACCATAATGATCAGCAAAGATAAAGACCCCAATAGAATTTTGTGGGTCTAAATGACTGATCATATACTTAGCACACTGGTCTTGGATAGAAGGAATCTGGAAGATGCTAGCTGCAGTGAACAAGGCTTGAACATTGGCCTCTGTGAGAATAATTCTGGAAGTGTAGGCATAGTTCAACACTAAATCCATCGATTCAGCTTCAACACCGACTATTCGAACTTCTTTTTGAGTACTTTCTGTAAGGCCGCTAGTGAACATGGATCTAAGAAGAAAAGATTGGTTAATATTACATGTGTGCTATAAATCAAAATTATTGCTACAAGATTTTAAAAGTACAAAGTTACCACAAAGATAACTTTTTAAAACTTAGTATTTCCTAAAATAGTCCCTGATATTCTGAATAGGAGTAAAAATTGATAATGTGTCAGAAGGATTTAGTCTGGCTAACCTCAAAACCCTATTATCCGGGCTAGCCTGCTTTGTGCCATCTATGAAAAAAAGGAAAGTAGACCTAAGGAAAAGCAAATCAAAAGGTGACACACATATTCCAGGTCACTTATTTTTCTAGGAGCCCCTATTTAAGCTTCTGGTCAAGTTGCCTTATGGACATGAGATCTTAAATTGAGCCAGTCAGAAACTTTAAGAATACCAAAGGGGTGCAGTGGCTCACACCTGGGCTCAATCCCAGCACTTTGGGAGGCCGAGGTGGGCGGATCACATGAGGTCAGGAGTTCAAGACCAGCCTGACCAACATGCTGAAACCCCGTTTCTACTAAAATAAAAAATTAGCCAGGCATGGTGATGCATCCCTGTAATCCCAGCTACTCAGTAGGCTGAGGCAAGAGAATCACCTAAACCTGGAAGGCCGAAGTTGCAGTGAGCTGAGGTCAGGCCACTGCACTCCAGCCTGGACAACTGAGAGAGACTCCATCTCAAAAAAAAAAAAAAAAAAAAAATACCTATAAAGATATCAACATTATACATTAGCATACAAAAAAACCAACCTAATAAAACTTTCCATGTCCCGGTGAAAATTACAAAGCAACCTGTACCCAAAATAGATCTTTAAAATGTTCATCTTAGAAAAGCAGTAAGTTCTTTAAAAGTACATATTCTCTTCCTACTCTTTTTTAAAACTTTTATCTTTTGAATGCTTCCTTAACCATTATAAGTAATACAATAATCACTTCACTTACCTTTGGGAATTTTGAAAACATTTGCTTAAAAATACTTCATTTCTCAGTTAAAGTTACTGTATTTTACCTACTTAAATCTAGACATAAATAAACATTATGGTAGAGTTAATATATAATGTCTCTTTTAAACAGAGTTTAATAGTTAAAATGATTCTTTGAAGATAATGGTTTTTAAAACCCCAAACTTTCGCCTTTGAGACCAAGTTTTTTTTTTTTTTACTATTAAAATATTGTTGCATTTATGGGACTTTCTTGATAGAAAGATTAAGCAGCCTGCCTTTTTAAGTATCAGTCACTTACAAACATCATTTGCCTTTCTTTTCCCTCCTTTAAAGTTTCATTCTAGATGATCCAGACTCATCCTATTTAGTTTTTGTGATGTTATGAAAAATAAATTGCAAAGATTTCCAGTTACTTTAAAAATATCTCTCAAACTCATGGAATTAATTTTAAAATGCAGTATGAGAAACACTGGAGGTACAAGGACTCAACTCACTGCGCAGGTTAATCATCTTCAAGTTCTATTTTTACTTCTACAGTATAAATTTTAATTTAATATCACATAGGCTTTTCTCATGACTAAAAGCTAGATGTTCGTATGTATGTGCTGGTTTTCAATTCAGGTGCTGAAAGACTCAACCATACAGCTACCAATTAAAGAGAAAAATACATCCCTGTGTTACGGAGAGATTAACTCCCAAAGGAAAACATTACCACATATCCCTTTATCCTGGGAACTACTGTAGACTTGAATAGGCTCATCTTACACACAGGAGTGGTCTGACACTTGAGTTTTCCTCTGTTCTAATAAGTTCTTCATGTAAATGCAACATAAATGAAGCCAGGGCACTTCCCCACACAAAATCCATAGTAGCAAAAAATTTCTAATAATCATACAAATTTCAATTCTGATGAGTTACTGGTATCATGAAACAGCCATTCCAGATTTCCCATTATTCTAATTCTTCCACTAGTGATGCAAGACTTAGAAACTATTAAGTATGACTTTCTACATCCCACACATAAAGTAATGCTGGTACCAAGAAACGTCAGTACAAAAACCTCTAGCAAGAGACCAAATTCTAATCCTTAAGTTTTCTAGCCAAATATCTTTATTTTAATGCACATGTATCATATCCTCAGAAAATTTCTCAAGTATATTTTACTCCTTTTTAAAATTAGCTTAATAAAGAGTTTAAGATTTTAAGGAATCAAGAAAATTAGGAATCTATCCTAGCATACTTCTTTTAAAGTAAGATTTTTTTCTAGGTCTTCAAAAAAAAAAAATGAAACTGCAAAGTGAAAATGTCATACTTATTAAGTATGCTTACTAAGTATTATACTTAATAAGGATAACATTTAAATGATATAATCTGGGTTATTAAACTTCAGTAAGATATAGACATTTTCACTTTGCAGTTTTTCTTAACCATTCAAATGTAACATATAGTAAAAATGTTTTACAGGAAACTTTAAAAAGGACCCACTGTACCCACTCTTGTTTCTTAAGAGTCACATGTTGACTAAGAAGCCTGGCTCTGGAATCAAATGTAGCCTCGGCCATTTGCTTGTTGGATAGATGATTTAGGCGTGTTATTAAAACTTAATCTCACTGAGCCTCAGCTTCTTCCTAAGTCAAATGGAACAACAACTGTGCAGAAATAGGATTATAAAGATTATATAAGGCAATACATGTAAAGTAAGCTTGATAAGTAGTAATTGTAACGTATATTTAAACATACAAATGACCTAACCATATCTAATAGATAATCTGTGTAAGTGAATCTCACCAGAAGTTTCCATTACCAGGCCAAACTTCATACCTTCTGCATACGTGGGTTTTATTTTTTTTTTTTCCGTATTGCAATGATTAATACTTAGTAGTCCAATGACCTAGCCTAGGCAAGTCTAAATGGTTACATCACAAGCATCAAACTGAAATGACTATATTTAACCCAGTATTCTGAGAAAGAGGAACCAGAAACTACTGTTGGAACATTATACGGCTATGTTCCCTATATAGGTAAGCACTTTCAAAAGGAAAAATCACATTCAGAGTGCGGTTGAACACTTTACTATTATTTATGCACCACTTGTGAATACGGAAAAGCTTCAAGTGAGCAGGTAGCACAAAAGAAGTTAAACACACACAGTAAACTGCCTTTCCCACTAATTTTAAAGTAGGAAGTTATTTTTCAGCCCCCAGTTTTTAAATTTTATTTTTAAAAGTTTAAACAATAAAAGTAAAAATAAAAACAGTTTAGCATACGTCTAGAAATATTGAAAATTGTTAATTTGGGGACTTAGGCACGTAGAGACTATATTTTACTCATTTTTTATTCCACTGCTTTGACCCCCAAAGCATTAAAACAATCTATCAAATGGTAATTTGTTTTTAAAGGAACACACTACTATGTTTTAAACCCTTTTATAAAAGAGTCCCATGTACTAAAGAAACATGCGTTATGGATAACTTGTTGAAAATAATTCTAGATCAGCACTGTCCAGTATAACTGCCAGTGATGAAAATGTTGTATCTCTGTGCTGTTTAATATGGCGGCCACTAGCTGCGGGTGACCACCAAGCACCGAAAACATGTTTAGTGGCCCCACACGGTGGCTCACGCCTTAATCCCAGCGCATTGGGAGGTTGCGGCGGGCGAATCACGAGGTCAAGAGATGGAGATCATCCTGGCCAGCACAGTGAAACCCCGTCTCTATTAAAAATACAAAAAATTAGCTGGGCGTGGTGGTGCCTGCCTATAGCTCCAGCAACTCGGAGCCCTGAGAAAGAATTGCTTGAAACCGGAAAACGGAAGTAGTGAACCGGGATTGCGCCACTGCACTCCAGCCTGGCGATAGAGCGAGACTCTGTCGCAAAAAAAAAAAAAAAAAAAAAAAAAAAAAAGTGTTTAGTGTACTTGGGGACCCGAGGAACTACATGTTTCATTTTATTTAACTTATAATTTAAGTTTAAACAGCCACGCATGGCTACTGGCTGCCATACTGACCAGCACAAGTCTAGATTACCTCAAACACACACACCGACCCAGTAACTTAAAATTCAACGCTAGAAGAATCCCTCAAGTCAAAATAAGGTCTTAAAAAGAGAGGACCCGTTTTCTAGTCTCAAGAAACAAAGCCATTGGTTTCATTTCATTATTGCATCTCAGTATAAACATCAAGTGGACAATACTGAGGGGGGAAGGGAGCTTGGTGCAGATACCGACACAAGTTCCTACCATCATCATACCTGAAGTAAGGGCTGATTGCAGCAAGAACGTTTCTATGACAGGAAAATGTTTTCCCGTGATCCACTTCCACTACAATGTCTGTCAACTGTCCTTCATCGTACATTGTTTTGAGTTGCTTAAGAATACTGCAAGCATGGAAGGGGTCCATGGCATCGCTGGCTGGGTCTGTAGATGGAATCCCATTCGGTGTTGGGGAAGATTTACTTAAATCTAGGAGGAGAAAAATCGTACAACCACAAGAAGTGCCGAGCCAGTTACGGCGTCGCGGGATTTTTTTTTGTTTGTGTGTTTGCTTGCTTGGCTTTTTCCCCGCTACAAAGATATATATATACATATATGTCTGTGGATATACGCACGACCTCGTGGGACCGCGAGTTTAGGATCTAGGAGACAGAGGGCGGAGCGCCATCGGCGGAACAAGTTCAAAGGCCAGCCTGCTCCTGCGGAGCCCGGCGAGCCCGGCGCCCGTGCTCGCGGAGGGAACGCGCTCGCAGCCCATGTGAGGCGTCTGCGAGAACTCCGCCGAGAGCCGAGGGCAGAGCCTCACGAAGGAAGCTCAACCGACGGCGACCGCCGGTGCCCCCTCAAGCCGCCTCCCGCTGCCTCCCGGGTCGCAGCGACGGCGGGTACCCAGCCTCCCCATCCCTGTCCCGCCGGACCGCCCACCGCCCTCCGCACCATTCATCCTCCCCTCATTCCCCTCTACCTCCTCATCCTTCCCTCCGGCTCCACACCGCTACCTCTTCATCCCACCGCCTATGGCCGGCCCCGGCCAACCTTCCCCCTCAACTCCCTCCACGCCGCCCTGGCCACCACACAACCCACCTGCCGACGCGGCCATTTCTCGATGGGGCCCCGGCTCCAGCTATTTAAAGAGGAAATGTCATTTCGCTTCTCCAGCTCCCGGGTTCCGGCTCTTCTAAGCTTCCCCTAGCCAATGGGGTGTACTGTGCATTTGGCTCCGCCCCTAGCCTACGAATTTCTGGCACTGATTGGTCTCGACGCGAGCATATGCGTGACGGGTAATGTAGTTTGATTGCCCCCGCTCCCGCGTGGTCAGACTTGGGCGGAGGCCCAACCCGGGAATTCCTATTGGCAGATACGGGCGGAGGTGGAGAGCAGGGAGCTAGCCAGCCTGTGGCCGTCGAGCGCGCAGTGCCTGCCGGGAGAGGTAGTCTTCTGGCGGAGGAGAACTGTCATTCTGAGGGGCTGGGGTAGGGAAAGCTCTTCAAGTGCGAATGTCCCCATTTTAGGCCTCTCTCCTGGCCCCCGGCTCATTTTTTTACCTTTTTCTTCTTCCGTAAACTTCCTGCCACTGACTGGCTTCCGGTATGCAATCAAGCTCTGCGTGAGAGCTGTAAAACCTGAAAAATTTGGAAATGTACAGGAGGGCTGTTGTCCAAAAATGCAAAGGAAATATGACGCCCCAGCCTGAAGAAAAATATCGGAAGGCCCAAAAGCAAGGCGTCTCTGATGAGTCACCTGTGACACCCAATTGAAATAGCATCGCCTTGGCCCGGTACTCTGGTTTCCACAGATTAACTTGGTCTGGTTAGAGCGGTTGTTTAGGATATTTAACTCCCACTCGTGCCTTGCTTTTCTAGCGCACCCAGAGAACACCTGTTCCGCACGTGAACATTATAGAGGGATCCCAGATGCTTTCCTTTTTGCTCTTGGAAAATGGAGGGATGCAATACTAAGTATTCTGGGAATTCCTTTGAAAAAAATACCGGAGAGCCCTGAGCCCGGGGCCAGGGATGATTACTGAAGCCCTGGCTCTTTAGTCACTATATGTGAGAACTGACATAAGACCTTTCAATCCTTAACCACTTAGATCCTTCACCTGTAACGTGAAGTGATAGTAATAGGTATTCTATGGACTTCATAGGCTGCAACCCTTTGGAAAGAAAATCAAAATTTTGATTTACTCATCTTGTGTTTCTAACATCTGATGGGGTGCCTGGCACATTATAGATGCTTAATATTTTAAAGATTAAGGTGCAAATGAGCTAACATTGGTAATGTTACTTCTAGACTGTTAAAATGTAAGGAAGTATCAGTGAATGGCAAGAATGTCTAGTAGGCATATAGTTAGCCCGTGTGCATAAATCTTCTAGCACTGAAAAGATTAAACAGTTGAACTTCTTGATAAAGGATCTTGGAATTTAAATTGTTATTGAGAAAGAGAAAGAATTTTGAAAAACAATTCAGTTCTGTCCCCTAGGTCTGCTGAGAAATTTAGAACTCAAAATACTATAACCCCATGCAAATTAACAAGAAGTGGTATTTCCTCATGACAGGGGTTTATGCATTTCCATATGCGCTTATAATTTCCTCTTTGTGAATGTCCTGTCTGCACATTTCTGGATGGATGAAATTGACTTAATTTTTGTTACTCATAACTTTACTTTTTCATTTTTATGTGCTTAATGATATTGCTTTCTAAGTTATTAAATGGTGGCATTTTTATTACAATATGGATAGTATTGGGGGGAAAATTGCATTAATCCTTAGGGTTTGACAACCTCTGACAATGTTGCAGATAAAAATACAGGGCATGCATTATTTGAGACATACTTAAACTAAAATAACACTTGTTGTTTATCTGAAATTCCAGTTTAATTGGGTGTTCTCTATTTTACGTGGCAACCTTTTCAGATTTCTTAAAATAGGAGTTTCGTTTGCACTTTGTTGTTGTTTTGTAGCCATCTATTTACTTAAGCCTTTAGATATTTGGTCAATTTTTTTAAAAATTTAATTACCAACTTAGTAGCAAACAGACCTGACAATATTGTTTGATTAGTTAAAAGACAGTGTTCAGGTTATTTGACCCACAAAGATTTATAAATTGGAGATGGAGCAGAATACAAATAACAAAAGCCAATCTAAATACAAATAGGAAAATAATTATAGGTACAAAGTTGCCATTTATATGACACTGTAAATAGACCCCATTCTACTGGGCAGATGGCGTTACCCCATAATAAAGATTTAATCTTCACTAAAATGCATTTTTTAGAAGCACAATAAATAGGAGGATCTTGAAACTGAGACAGTAATACCAAACTATTCTTTCTCAATGATCTGTAAGAATACTGGGGAGATTCCTTTTCAGGACGGATACTGACTAGCCAAAGGTTACACATTTATTTTAAAATGGCTCTAATTTGAATTTTAGTAAGAACCTCCTGAATCACTGCACATCTGGAAAGAGCAGCAAAAGTAAACCAGTTTTCCTCTTAAGGTATTGAGTACTATATTGCAATTTTCTCACATATTCACAGTTTAAAGTAAAATCAATTAAGAACAGAAATTGAAAAACTGAACTAGAATATTTGAAGGTCCTACATTTAGTTCTACTTAGACACTTAGAGCTTTTATATTTTAATATTATTGTTTTACCTAGGAATCACAAGCAAAGAGAATTGCTATAATCATGGTTGCTTGAGAGAAGAAACGTCTTTACATTTAAATTCTAGCAAAGATGAAGGATTATGAAAGCATCAAATTTGGAAATCCAAAAATTCAAAAATGAGAAATTGAAGGCTCCTTGTTTTTTTCTGCTTTCATTTCAAGAGAATGACTTTTAGCAATTATCAGCTATCCCCAGGCTACTCTCTGTAATACCACACAACACAAGAATGATAGCAACTCTGATGAACAAAGTGTAAAAGAAAATAGAACTTCACTTCTCCAAATAGATTCTGCAGTTTTCCAATTTCCCTGTTCAGTACCAGTTGGGGCAGTGAAATTGACCAGAGCTATATAAAATGAAAGTAAAGAATACTTGAAACTCTTACCTTTTAGCAAATGACATCCTTATGTATTTATCCACTTCAGCCTACAGATACAACCATCTTAATATCTTCAATGTGATATTTTTTCTTGCTTAAAAACTACATTGGCTAGGTAAATGAAACAACAAAAGTGATCATTCAATATAAATTTAATATGGCATGAGATACACAAAGTTTTCTTTAATTTCTAAAACCTTATATATTGTCCATGATTTAGTTTCTTTAAATAAAAACTCTAAATAGGTATTAACATCAGGTTTACTGATTGGGCAGCACTGGTCTTTATTGTATTTTTAATTTTTTATTCCCTTTGAAGTTATATGAGGATTCAACACGGTAGTAACTAGAAGATTGCATTTCATGAATCACTGAATTTGACCGTACTGGAGGATATTAACATGCATTAATTTTTACATATTTGGAATTTAGCACATACTTGGAAAAAAGACTATGAAACAGTCTTTTTTTTTTTTTTTAGATGGAGTTTCGCTCTTGTTACCCAGGCTGGAGTGCAATGGCGCAATCTCGGCTCACCGCAACCTCCGCCTCCTGGGTTCAGGCAATTCTCCTGCCTCAGCCTCCCGAGTAGCTGGGATTACAGGCACGCACCACCATGCCCAGCTAATTTTTTGTATTTTTAGTAGAGATGGGGTTTCATTATGTTGACCAGGATGGTCCCGATCTGCTGACCTCGTGATCCACCCGCCTCGGCCTCCTAAAGTGCTGGGACCACAGGCGTGAGCCACAGCGCCCGGCCGAAACAGTCTTTTCAGTAATATTCAGTTCCTCAAAAATATTGATTGCCTCCTCCCACAACCTGCATTCTAAGAAGACACTATCTGAATCAATGTTTCCTATATAAAACAAGATAGATAGATATAGATAGATAGATAGATAAATAGATAAATAGATAGATAGATATAGATGATAGAGATATGAGATTCCTAATCTCAAGGATCTTATAGTTTATCTGTGAAGACAAAACTAGAAAATGAGAACTAAGGGCAACCCCTAGTTAGCATAAAATAAGTATTTCAAACAATTAATGTTAAGAATTTCAAAAGAGGTAAGGAATTCTATTCAGCTGGTGTGGGATTTAAGCTGAGCATCCGAAGAGGATACATCATAGAACTATTTGCAAAAGTGTCGGAATACTGTCTTACCTAATTGCTTTATCTTCGCTTGACCCAGAAGGTAAAGCATTCACTTTAATATTGATAGGGCTTAATTTAGGAATAGAACAAGGAAAAGGAATTAATCGTTGTGTGTTACCTACTTTATTGCACTTAATTTCACCTTTTAATTAAATTTTCTAAGAACAATGTTACAAATGAGGTGACCAAAGCCTGGAGAATTTCAATAGCCTGCCTGTAGTCATTTAGGGGTCTTTGGCTTTATAGCCAACTCTCTTTTGATAACAACATATAAAGATATGAGAATAAAATGGAGTATTGAAAATAAGGCGTAGGATTTTCTCCCCATTGAACATGTCTGGTTCTGTGTCAAACACAAGGTCAATCAATATCTGTCATGAATGAACAGAATTATTGGTATAGGTTTGAGATGGCTTCATGCCCCAAGAAATTGAAAAAAAAAAAGAAATAAAGGAAAGGCTAGAGGGGTATAAGTCAGACTATTAAGCTAATTTCACTTTGTCAGACCAAATTTATAATTTTAGAAGTATAGTGATTTAGTACGTTTTATCTGTCTATGAAATAATGAAAAGAAATGGCTAAAATATATATGTGTGTGATTAGCCATTAATATTTATTAAGTTGACACTGCTTCACTGTTCTACGGAAAGATTGAATTATTGTACAAGATTGGAGATCCTGAATAGAATTACTCTACTGTACCCTTAATTTATTCAATAATATTCAAACATAGAATGATTGCACAAGCCAAAGCCACTGTCAAAATGTGAGAGATCAGCACTCTTCTCTGTTTGAAGATTAGCTTACAATCCAAATAGAACTAATGGAATTAAACAGTGATTGTTGATTCTTTCTAACCCCAATTATGATTTGATTTTTTTAAGTTCATGAAATCGCTAAAAACTCTAAATGCAAGGAGAATCAGGGGCCAGTAATCTTCAGTGTGTAGACACAGGAACTGAAATTCATGAAGAATAGGCATCAGGTGTTTGGAAAGGAGTTCCTTAAACCCAGCAGAGAGAACATAGAGGATATAGTTGATTATACTTGAATCCTCAAATAATCAAATAT